CAATACAGTTGATCATTCAGAAAATATTCATGATTGAATATATCTTTACAACATTGTTACTCACAGAGTTCTGAGTTACAGATAGGCTAGTGAGCGTCCTCGGATGCCAACCCTACACAGTTACAGAACGAACACACACTAAGTTACACACTTGGGAATCAACGACTTAGTGCCTATCTTGACTCGGTATGGTTCTACAACAATATCCTCATTAAGATGCCTTAAACAAGGTCTGTGAATGCCTATGATGAAATGAGGATGTAAAGATGTACTTTAAAACACTTTTCAAAATTTTCAAAAAACAGGGGTCTCGCTCGAGCGTGGCTTTCTACGCTCGAGCGGACATGCAGACAAAGGACCTCCGCTCGAGCGTGACTTTCCTCGCTCGAGCAGACTGCAAAAGTACTGGATGCACGAAATTCACGCTCGACGAGCGCTCGACCCTCGCTCGAGCGTGAGACACGAGTCCTCGCTCGAGCGTTCATTTCCTCGCTCGAGCAGACTGTAAACACACACAAAGTACTGGATACACGCATTTCACGATCGAGCATTAATTTACTCACTCGGGCGGACTGCATGAACTCAGAGCGTACGCTCAAGCATGAAGTTCCTCGCTCGAGCATGGATCCAAAATCTAGAATTTTTAGATTTGTCTCCAAGCATGAACTCAACATTTAAAGCATCAAATTCGATCCTTTTGGGCTAATTTTCTAGAAAACACTTTAAAACTCATAAAATGACATGTTTCAAAGATCAATTTGCAAAATCAAAGCCCAAAGGTAGTTCAATTGAACCCATTTCCAAACAAAACTTCAAGAACATGATGTACATGCAACATGCAAGTGTTCAATTGAAATCAAAGCTTCAAATACTTGATCAAATGAGCCAATCCTTCCAAAACATGATGAATTCATGAACTATAACCCAAATATGGACATACATGTAAGGATTCTATGAAAACAACCTCAAAATTCAAGAATGTAAACATGCATGCATGATTCAAGCTCACTATTCCACATTTTAAGCCATAACTTGGCTCTAGACTTCAACATTCTTCTAAACCATGCAAGAACCAACTCAATTCATAAACAAGAAGGTAAAAGCTCTACCTTAAGTCTTCAAGTTCAAGAAGGGAAGCTCAATTTTTTGCAATTATCCTCCAAAACTTTTAAGCCTCCAAGTCAAATCTCAATTGAAGCCAAGTTTCTCCTCTCTTTTTTTTCCTACGGTTTTGGGTCCTGAATAATGGCTGAAGAGGTGCTAAAGCTAGCACATAAGAGGCAACTAAATGGTCCTAGAATTGTCCACTAAGTGGCAATTTGGTAAATAAGCCCACTAATTCAATTTAACATTATTGAATCCAATTTAATCATACCAAATCAAATTTCAATTAAATCTACCATAAAATCACATAAATTCTAATAATCATGAAACACTAATCAATTTTAGATTCGGCCGCTGATAAGGCCTTCAATTCACAGTTTGACACTTAAAACATGAACAGATCAATTAATAGTCTAACAGATAGGAATGCGTTTAAACTAATATACTCAATTAATCAGTTCAGAATGCCAGTCAAATCAGTTACTTAATCATGTTCAGTCACAGTTTAGTAGTAATCAGTAGTATTATCAGTAAACAGTGGTGAGGGTTATCATAGTCCCTAAGCCCACCCCAACTCTCTCTCTTTCTTTCTCTCAAACGACAATGTATTGGAAATGGTTGTTTTTGGTTTGTTTGCCCTCCTGTCACTCATTATGACCTGTCTATGTAGGTATTGTTGTTGGGGGGGTCTTCTATCATTTCTACTCTCGAAGTCATAAGCCCACCCAAACGTTCTCTCTCTCTCTCTCAAACGACAATGTATAGAAATGGTTGTTTTTGGTTTTTTTTCCCCTCCTGTCACTCATCACTGACCTGTCTATGTGGGTATTGTTGTTGGGGGGGTCCTTTATCATTTCTGCTGTCGAAGTCACAGCAATAGTGCTCTTTTCAAATCGTGACAATGGTGAACCAAACGTCGAGTTTGATTCTTTCTTCTCAACTGAGTCTGCCTCGTCCGAGTTGGAATCTTCTTCTGGGTTCTCACCAAGCAGTAGGAGTTGCATTACACTGCAAATAGAGCACAGACAGAGGAGATGAAGAAGACAGTTTAGATGATAGTAAAAAATTTTGCACCTGTACTTTGGGTTGTAATTTAAGCTCTGTATAGATACAGAAGCTTTTGGGTTCTTTAGCTATGTATTTTTTTTTATTTTTTTATTTTTAGCTATGTAATTTAAGCTCTTTAGTATAAATAATATATTTATTTAAATTATTTTAAATAATCTCACTATTCAATTTCTTATATGAATAAATTAGTAAATTAGTGTTGATGACAGTTTAGATGATAGTAAAAAATAAATTATTATTGGGTTTTTCATAAATATTAAGTGTATTTATGTTAGGTGTATATAAAAATTTAAAAAAATTGCTTAAAATATTAAAAACAAAATAGAAAAATACGAAACAAAAAAATTCAATTTTCTAAAAAGTGAATTTAAAAAACTCAAACCAAATTTGCTTGGATGTTAGGGATTAGGCTGTACTTTGGGTTGTAATTTAAGATAGAAGCTTTTTGTTCCAATCACAATTTTTTATCTTATTCTCTGTTCGATACTTTCTTTGATGCAGTAAAAATATTAAACCAAATAAGATGGCATTTTAATACATGAAGAATTTTGAATATATAAAAAGAAAATTTTGAACTCACAAGAAAACAATAATGATTCATACCACTAAAAAAAAGACTATTAATAACACTAATGTATTGGGAATGTCAGGAAAAAAAAAAAAGGCATAGGTAGTGGGTGGCGCCCACTGCCACATCATTAGTGGTGCTATTAGAGCACCGCTTTTAGTACTCTCAACTATTTTTCTTTATGAAATTTTCAATTGCTTATTTACCTCACTCTTATTACAATGTGACAAAATTAGCATAAAAAATATGAGGCAAAATTGGGTGAAAGAAAGGGTCAATGTTCCAAATTCATATCAATTTGTTTTAGGATGGACCAGCCTATCAATTAAGATCGAGGCCCTGTAATAATTCTATAAATGCAGTTGAGCTTTTAAGTTTATCAGTTCTTGAGAAATATTATAGATTTATAAATTTACTCATAATAATGTGGTGTGTGATAAATTAAAATTTTACACATCATATTATATTATTGTGATCAAATTAAAATAAATTTTTAACAGTTTTTAAACATTTTTAAAAATAAAATAAAATTTTGAACATAGCTAGCATAAATGTGGAGTATCTGTAGTGTCCTGGAAAACCAGTAATTGAGTTTATTTATATTGTGTTTAGAAGAAAAAAAGAAAAGCAACAAATGAAGCACAAGAAATTGAAGTAAACTTTTAAACATGAATAAAAAAGATTTTTTAAAAATTAGTCCCATTAATAAATTTTGTAAATTATTGGCTATTCATATATATTCTATATTTCCTCGAACGGTTTAGAATTTTGGAAGCTTAAATTTTAGAACTTTTGCAATCATAAATTAAATTAATGAATTTTTTAATTTTAAAAATAGATCCTACTAACTACCCCTCAATGAGCTTTGGTTAAGGTTCAAATAATATAAAAAAAAAAATTAAATTAAAATTTTAATATATATTTTACATAATTTCATACATTTTTATGTATTTATATGTATACTCACATCATTTTAATGACAAATGCTAACAAAAGCATTGTTTAATATTAAATTTGCGTAAAAAAACGCTTCAAAAAATAGTGAAAAAGTTAAAATAAATTTTTGATTCAATAAAAGTATTTTGAAATTAGTAAAAAAATATCTAGTTTTTTTTTTCCTTCCAAGTCTAATAAAACCTACACGTGAAAAAGTTATTTGAAATTTAAAAAAGAAAATTCATTCAAGACGAAAACCAACCAAAGATCAAAATTTTGCTTTTTTTTTTTTTACCAAACCCAACCTTAAAATGTCAATTTTATCTGTTTTATATCCACAAACCAAACACCGTTGAAGGAAGGGTGGTTTCAAATCCCCTGAGAGGGTAATTTTTGGTAAAAATTGGGCCGAGCTATGTGATAAGCTTCGTGGCCCAAAGTGCCAAGGACTTGGTGGAAAGGCCGCAAGGTTACTCCGGCCCAGGAGAGGTATGGTTACTCCGGCCCAGGAGAAGTGAAGTTATTCCGGCCCAGGAGGGGTGCGGTTACTCCGGTTCAAGAATGTGCAAAGCTACTCCGGTCTGGAGTTAACTAGAGTTAGTCCGGTCTCGGAATTAATCCGGTCGCGGTGTATTGTGGTTAGATCGGCCAGAGCCTGCTACTCAGAAGCTTGGTCTAAATACATCATGGTTGAACGAGGGAAAGCCGAGATGAGTTGGAGGAGAGAACCGAGCTAAGGATAGTTCGGTCTTCTCTGTGACTCAGCATAGCCAGTGTTACTTCGGTCAAATGGTAGTTCGGCCATGGAGAAAACCATCCCACTTGGTTTAAGCAGTGGGGGAGGGTGTAAAAGGATAAGCATTATCCTTTGGAGTCTGAATCCTAGGAGGACTCTACATGGAGAAATACAAGTCCTATTAGGATTGTGCCACGGGAAACTTATAAAAGCCTACAAGCACTACCTTCGAGGAGGTAATTGAACACAATCTTTCTGAGAACTTAGAGCTTTGTCTATTTGTCAAGTTTTCTGACTTAGGCATCGGAGAGGTTTCCGGCACACACCCGCCGGCTAGCTCACGTTTGTGTTTTCAGGTGACAAAGCGACGTCGTACGGAGGAGCGTGGACTTGGTCAACAGGATTATACGAGGAGAATTATTTCCTCCCCGTACATCCCCTATCATGCAAATGTGAACACAAGTATTCTTTGAGGTCTGAATCAGATTCTACAAGCACACACCACTTCTGTAAAATTTATATACAGCAAAAAGCAAAAAGATGGATAGTAAATGGTGATATGGTTCAAAATTCCATTCAATCAAGCAGAAAAATCAGGTCGTTGATGGTCTTGGTGGAGGCAGCGATATTGGGGGTGTCAAGGGTGGTGGTACTGGAGACAGTAAGGGAGTTGGCGTAAGTGGAGGTGGTGATGGAGGTGGAGGTGGCAGTGTTGTGGGTGGCAAGGGAGGTGGGGAAGGTGGATGTGTAAGTGGAGGTGGCAGTGCTAGGAGTGGAAAGGGAGGTGGTTGTTGGGATATATTTCTTTATTGGAGTTTGAGACCTAATTGGTTTATTAAAAGAGTTTAATTTAGTTTGGTATTAGTTATAATATATTTTTATATATTATATCTAATTTGTGGAGACCCAATCCAATTTGATTACAACTACGGTTTACTAAAAAAGCCCACAAGTTTACCATATATATATTGGTATTGTTTGTTTTTCTGTTTGTGAGAAAACAATAGAGGCAGCCGTTTGGCTTGGTGAAAAGGCAGCAGTGGCTTAATATTGATTGACATCAATTTAGTGGTTGTGCTTTGTTCTATGTTGCTTGGAATATATCATTAGGGCTTTCAAATATTGTGTCACAGTGGATCTTGGCTTGTTGCTCTGCTTCGGTTGATTTGGGATAATTATTTTGAGTCTTCTATAACTCTGGTTTTAAAGATTTTGGTTTATCTATTTGGTGAGGTCTTTCCTCTTTGTTTATTTGTGATTATTTAGAATTCACCTAAAGGTGGTTTGTGAGACTATTCGTGTCTTATTTGTAATCGTTTGGAAACTTATTTGGTTGATAGTGGAATCGAATTTCGATCCTGTGGACGTACCTCACATTGAGGGAATCGCGTAAAAATTCTTGTGTTGCTTTTGATTTAATTTTTTTGCATTAGTTTTTATTTCCATTGATTGATTTACTTGTGAGAAATCATTGATTTTCCCTAACAACAGTGGTGTAGGCAAAGGAGGCGGTGTTGGGTGCAGCAAGGGAGGTGGTGAAGGTGGAGGTGTTGAGAGCGGCAAGAGAGGTGGTGGAGGTGGAGGTGGAGGTGGCGGTAAGGGAGGTGGTTGTGAAGGTGGTGGCATAGGCGGATGTGGAGGCAAAGGAGGTGGCGGTGAAGGTGGAGGTGGCGGTGTTGGGGGTAACAACAGAGGTGATGTAAGTGGAGGTGGTTGTGTAGGTGGAGGTGGCTGTGAAGGTGGCGGCAAGGGAGGTGGTGTAGCTGGAGGAGAAGGTAGTAAGGAAGGTGGTGACGGTGGAGGTGGTGGTGGTGGTGGTAAGAGCGGTGGTGGAGGTGGCGGTGGCGGTGGCGGTAAGGGAAGTGGTGGCGTTGGCGGAGGCAGTGTAGGTGGCGGCGACAAGGGAGGTGGGGGTGTTGGCGGAGGTGGCGGTGTTAGGAGTGAAAAAGGAGGCAGTGGTGCTAGGGGTGGCAAGGGAGGTGGTATAGGTGGTGGTAGAGGAGGCGGTATTGGGGGTGGTGAAGGTGGTGGTGTAGGTAGAGGCGGCGGTATTGGCGGTGGCAGTGGTGGAGGTTGTAAAGGTGATGGCAAAGGAGGAGGTGATGGTGGTGGAGGAGCAAAAGGTGATGGAAAATGTGACAATGGAGATGCAGGGCTATTATCATAAAAATATGTAACAAGTGTTATCTTATATTATTATGAATGTAGTTATGTACTCTAAATAAGTCAATCAGATAATGCATCGTTGGAGCATATTTTCAAATTGCGAATAATCCCATTGCATCTTTTTTTTCCTTTTATTATTTTATTTTAAGCCCCTAGGAGTCTTCCCTTTTTCTTTTTTTTTTTTTCTTTTTTAAACATAGCCCCAGGAGCTTCAGCTTATTACGTAAAGTATTTTTTTTATTTTTATATATTTATTTTGTCAAAGATAGCGTTAATATATTGATATAGTTAAATTACAACTAAAAAATTCGCCACTGTTCCATTAACTTAACCTCCCATTTATCACACCCTAAGATGGGCTACTTAACCATTGGGATGGCTTTAAATTTCACTTGTTTCAAGAGTAATTTGAACAATTGATTTGGCTGGGCTTCATGGAAACCCTATTTTTAGGGGGGAAAAAAAAAAGAGTAAATTAAAATAATGACCTCGTTAAATTCACCTTCATATAAATTAGAAGGGTGACTAGGTGTGTATTTTAAAATAAAAAATGCTATGAATTCCAAATAATATATCAATTTTTTTAACAAATATTTCATATGGGTGTAGGATCCACACAACCTCACATGTGTGTGAATCCATACCCATGTAAAAAGTTTGATAAAATATTTAGAATTCCTAACATTATTCCTTTAAAATTATTAGTTCAACTATATAAAATCATAAAACTGACAAATAAACAAACAAATCATCAACAAAAAAAAATATTGATTTAAAAAAGTGATGATGAAAGACTCTTGCAAGAATTATCAAAAAAAGATTTTCCAATTGATCAATTTTGCACTTTATTTGTTAATGTTATTTTAATCTGGTTCAATTGATCGTGTCCATTAAAGTTTTGTGAAAAATTAAAGACAAAATGATCTATTCACCTTATTTTGCGAAAAATTAAAGACAATAATCTATTCACCTTTCCCTCTTCCACAAACCACCTCACTACGGATTTTACTGATTACCGTCCAATTTCTTAACAAGTGTTATTAATTGGAACAAATTGATGCAATATAATCAAAATGATATGAACCAAATTAATACAAGAGAGAAATTATATTCATGATTAGTCTTTAGTCTCTTGAGTCATCCACACTTCAGCTTCAAGACTGATTTTTGTAGAAGTTTCAATGATGGGGAACACAACTTTGAGACTCTGAATTCTGGATTAGGAGTTTAATGTGCTTCATTAAACGCCCAATCTTAAAATGTCAATTTTATATGTTTTATATCCACAAACCAAACACCACTGAAGGAAGGGTGGTTTCAACTCCCCGTGGCTTAGTTGCTGAAGGGGGTTATCATGCAAATATAAACACAAGTATTCTTTGAGGTCTGAATCAAATTCTACAAGCACACACCACTTCTGTAAAATTTATATCCAGCAAAAAGCAAAAAGATACATAGTAAATGGTGATATGGTTCGGAATTCCATTCAATCAAGTAGAAAAATCGGGCGGGTTGGGAGGGAAGAGAGTAGTGAGAGGACAAAACGTCTTCATCCTCGCCCGGTGAGACCCACTTTCTTGTGTCAAATTAGAAAGAGAAATCTATAACAATAAAATGCAAGAAAATCACTACATCAAAAACAAATAAGGAGAGTTCATACAGCTCATGAATTTATCTTCTCTTGCCCATGGTCGTTCCACTTTCTTGCTTCAGTTGAAAAATTTATCTAATAAAAATAAAAAGCGAATAAACCACATCCAAAAGAGAGAAAAAAAAATAGAAAAGGGAGAGTTCATACAGTAGATTCGTATAGCTCTTAATTTCAACTTGACTAAAACCTACATCAATAATGGTACATGAGATTCGGCCACCTCGTCCATTGTGCTTTTCTTGAAACTGGGATCTGTTGAGAGGTATTGCTGGGCTAATAAAATCCAGATAACACAGCTCTCAAATACACTAAAAAGCTCCTGAGACACATTATCAAGGAGGGCATAAACATGGAGACAGCTTCACTTTCTGTTCCTACTGTCTTCCCTCTCCTTTTCCCGTTTCTTGTAAAGCTTCTCAAGAACACGCCTTGCCTCGCAAGGTGGAAAGTTCGCAAGGTCAAAGTAGTGTGGAGCTATATCAACTAACCTGAATCGACCCAAAATAGCAAAAACACAAAAGGTGAATAGAGGTGGACAGTCAAGTAGGCATGCGATACAACAAAAATACAGGACTTTAACAAATCACATACCTGTCCACCAGTAAAATATAAATTCCCAGTCCCGTTTTTAATAATAATAAATATATATTAGATATAAAACAGTTAGGAACAATAGTGCTTTATTCATAAAAAAAATACTAATAATCCTTTATGATAGCAATAAAAGTGTTGTTAATCTGTTTCGATTACCCTTTAATGCATACAGAAGGGGTCAACAAAACAAACAAGCAACCAACATGGATATTGAGAAGCTTCAGGCCTATCCATAAGACGAATTGTCTTTACCCCAGACAACTGAAAAAATTGTGATGATTTTAACATCCAACCTGTCACAGAAAAGAGGCAGAGACAGAGAGAGAAGGGAAGGGCTTGTTTGGGAACGGCAAAAACCTGGTTTGGGTGGGAATTGTTCCTGTCTGTGCAAGGCAAACCTCAGTTTTACTAACATCAGGTCTAAAAAACATCTAGTTTTATTTCATTTTATTTTTTTGTCTCCCCAATTTTCAGCAAAAGCTGGGTTAACTATCAAGAACAACAGAGCAAAACCTATACATTGAAAACTCAAAATGAGGTCAACCCCAACATCCTTTCATCGGGCAGACAGAGAGCGAGAGATAGTCCAAGCTATGATGTAAGGGTGGATATTTTCCCCAAATTGCTTCTAAGTCGTCTACCTAATTCACGAGAATTTTTGAGCCAATGTAGAACTAGTGATAATAAAATCACTATTATGAAGGAATGGAGATAGAAATTAAAGAAGCCTTCTACAAAACAGAACAGCAACAAGCTTTATTTTTATGGAAGAATCCTCAATGCAAATGGCATTGACACTATTATAAAGCAGACACATCTGTATTAGACATGCACAAGTAGCAACGCATCTTAAGACTCCTATAAACATAAATTTCAATCTTCTTTGCTCCACAGCTCATTACCTATCACTTCTTTTAGTACTAAATTTGACATCATACACTCGACAGCTATGAGACAAACAAGAAAACAAACAACTTATAACATAGTAGTAGAATTATGCATAATTTTTGTTCAAGAGATTTGTAGGTCTTCACTTCCATATTATGCATAGTTAGCATAAACAGTAAGAAACTAATCAAAGTTTGGTATTTTTGTCTCATATAAAATGTGTACAAATTTTGCTTTGTTTCATGTATTAAATTCCCTATTTCCATGGTGAACAATACTCTGCTGACAACCATATTGAACAAGAACCAATAGAACCGCATATTACAAAGAGAAACTAACCATTCCCCACGAACATCTGTTACTGTGCGGATGAAATTTCTGCTTGTTAAGACAAACTCATTATAGATGACCCACTCTGGCTTATGATCCAGGCAATTTGAAGGGTGCAAGTGAACCACCTACATATGCCACATTACAGTATTAGAAAAATGTAAGAAAAAATCTTGTCCCGTGTGAGTCAAATATACAATATCCTAAAGGTTAAAACAAGAGATGAATCAATATATCTACGTACCTGGTTGTCCTTCACAGTTAAATAGTGTCCAGTGCGCTCCAGATGAGCCACCTGCATGAAATATCCAGCTAGCATAGCTTTTCTGATGTTGATGTAATAGTCACGGCTGTTAAAATCTGTACTGCATTGCTTGAGGTTGAACCTAGCCATGATCCGAACTAGCTGTTGTCTCACATTATCAGCAGCTTTCAATGCCCTTTGGTTGACAAAGTTTTCGTAACACCAAGATGGATCCTCATCTGAAACCCATTCACATGTAAGCAGGATAAGAAATGCATACGGCATTAATAAAAGCCTCTCTGATTCTCAAAGCAGAAGGAAAGAAATAGAGAATGCAGTTAGATACTTACTATTTTGCTTGTATGCATGGTATACATTCAAGAGCGTAAGGTGATCCCCATCAATGTGCCCAAACCGAGCCTTTGCTTCATCTGCTGCTTTTTGAGCCTCCTTAGGCCGGATAAAGCAATTGGGTACTAAAGAAAAAATTGGTTATCACAGAGGAGGCCCACGGTAGGTCAGCAGATGCATAGAGGCGAGACGACACCATGTGCTTCATGAGAGAATACTGAGAAACTGCAACTATCTGCATCAGCACTTACTTAGAAATTCTATGGTGCATGCCAACAGGGGGCATGGAACCCAGACAAGACAGTTGCTGATGACAACCTAAGTGGACACACACATTTAACTGCATGCAGATGTACACCATGTACAAAAAATGCAATTAAACACGTAACATCATATGCCTAGATACATGTCTATGCACATGATACAAAATGGGCATGCATTCACAAATAATGAAGCAGCATTCTCAGCCCATCGTGGTCTACGTCAACTTAGACCCACAATTAGACTCAAACAGACACAAAGAAAGCAAGGTAACAGACGACAAACCTGAAAGCATGGCAGAAATAGACAGAATCTCATTTGAACAGTTAAATTCCTGGCTGACAACAAGCATCTTTGACATCTGCGGATCCAAGGGGAACTCACTCATGATCTCACCCAGCTTGGTCAAGTTGCCTTCATCATCCAACGCTCCCAAGTAATTCAAAACCTCTAATGCGCGCATCAATGTCTCTGGGGCAGGGGGATCCATAAAATCAAAATGGACCAAATCATCTATCCCTAGTTTCTTCAAGGTGAGAACTGTGTTTGCAAGGTTTGATCGCAGTATTTCTGGGTATGTCTGTGGCTGAAGATCGTTATTGAAACTTTTCTCAGTGTAGAGTCTAAAACATTTTCCTGGTTGGGTTCTTCCAGCACGACCTGATCTTTGGTGAGCACTAGCCTTTGATATCGGAGAGACCAACAAAGATTCAACACGTATTCGAGGGTTATAGACCTTTTGTTTTGCAAACCCAGGGTCTATCACATAAACTATACCATCTATGGTCAAAGAGGTTTCTGCAATGTTTGTTGAGACTACAATCTTCCTCCCAGGAGTGCCGCCCTCAGTCAGGGGGGGAGGAGCAGGTTCAAATATCTTCTGCTGCATAGCAGGAGGAAGCGTAGAATACAGTGGCACTGCTTTCACAGGCCCGCAAGCATCTCCCATATTTCCAATTTCTTTTGTTATTTTCCTACATGCATCTTCTATCTCCTCCTCTCCAGTAAGAAATACAAGTATGTCACCAGGTGGTTCATATGCGTGTATCTGAACAACTGTACGAATTGCTGCCTCAAGGTAATCCCTCTCAGGTTCCTGTGTGTACAAAATCTCCACTGGATGCAGTCTTCCTGGAACTTTCATAAGAGGTGCGCTATTGAAATAACCCTGAAACTTTTCGGCCTCAAGAGTAGCACTCATTACAACTAGTTTCAGGTCGGGTCTATTTCTCAATACTTCCTTCAAAAGCCCAAATAAAACATCGGTTGCCAAAGTTCTTTCATGAGCCTCATCAAGAACTATCACTTTGTAACGTTCCAAAAGCGGATCTGTCATAGCTTCTCTTAAAAGCATACCATCTGTCAAATACCTGTAATGCAAAAAGGAAGTGTATAAGTGAATTCTCAAGTAAGCAAGAAAAAACAAAAACATCAAACACATCGCTAGCCCAACAAACGATAATCAAAAGCATTCATAGAAGAAATAAGCTTTTACTTCAAAACTGTTCTTGCACTACTGCAGTCTTCAAAACGGATGCTATAACCAACTTCTTCTCCAATAGTTACATCCATCTCTTCAGCAACCCGACGAGAAACAGACATAGCAGCTACCCTACGAGGCTGGGTGCAGCCAACCATGTATTTCCTGCGTTTATCTGGGGCCTCTATATCAACAGCATCAAGAATAAACTGAGGAATCTGCATAAAAAGGAAGCCTAACTCAGTTGAAGTCTAGGTTCAAATACTAAGGAGTTCTATTCTGAAGGGCAGAGATAAATTCTAGTTATGTTGCACAAGCATGTATAGCATATAATATCTATTAGGCAGAGACCGCTAAAAAATTTCAGTTCAAAACACACTTAAAACTTGTAACACAATGTGTAGCTATGAATGATGAAGTTAACACGTTCCAGCCACGTAAAACTTTAAAGCACTGTACTGCCACATTAGAAGCCCAAAAAGCAGTCCATCTTGAAATGATTACGTCATATTGCACTATAATTAATGATTTTATAGAGTAGACCTCAAACAAGCTCCTTGAAAGGTAAGGGTCTCATAAAAGTTCAATTATTCCATTATGTCTTACCTATACAGATTTAGACTATAAACATTGCTGGTAGTTGAGTAAAACTTCTAAACAATATTTTTATGAGCAATACCTCTTAATCTATTATAATAACCACTACTTGAAAAAATGGATGACCACAGACAACAGAACAGCACATTGGTAATGCATTTGCTGTTTGTTCTCATCAGAGACTGTACTTTTTTCTGTGCCTTTTTATCAATTATGAGCTCACAATATCAATGTTTGGCAACCTCGGCAAGTCACAAGAGCTCGCGAGGAGGCCTTATTGTGAAATGAGGCCTTGGTATCATTTTTGTATTTTGTCATTTCCTTATTATTTCTGGCATTTTCAATATATGAATCCTCAACTAAGAAATATGGACACTTCTACGGAGGAACCGTGTCATGTCCAACCCCCATTGTTTAGAATATAATTGTTACATGAATGATATATTGATGTTTAAATTATGAAATATATAATTTTTTAACGTAATTAATGTTATATTACATATTTTTCATCGTCTTTGAATAAATTATTCATATATGATGTATAATAAATTTGTAAAAATATAAAATTTTAACACGTCCCAAGCATGTGGTGATTTATAGTTCTTGTTTTGGGCTTGTTTATAGCATGGTTGTTAGAATCGTACGATTCATGATTCAATTCATACAATTTGATACGATTTTCAACAAAAGCGATTCGAATCGTGCTATTGAATCAAAAATTGAGTGAATCATGCAATTTAATTTTCGAGTCACTACAATTCATTGCAATTCAATTCTATTTTTGTTTTTGCTTTACATAATGCATGAAATAACGTCATTTTTGCCAAACTAACAAGATATATAGAATAGATCAATTAATTATATTGATATACATGATGTTATTATATATATAAAATTTAATTATATTGATATTTACATCATTTTAAACACACTAAGTGAATTTTTATATGTATATAGATATATAAAATCATATATTATATTAAATAAAATAAATCTTACGATTCACGATTCACTATTTTAACAAAATGATTCACGATTTGACAACAATGGTTTATAGCCATATGTGTTGATTTATATCTAGCTCTTGTTTATAGTTCATTTCTTTGGTTTGGTGAAATCTATATAACTGACTCAGTTATTTCAGTGCAAGGAATGTGAAAACCAATTGATTCGGTTCTGGGTGTAAAACCCCTTAACCTCGACCAACCCTAAACCGATTCCACCCCTAATCAATGTGACCCTTGCAATTACCCTTCTTTTTTTTTGAACAATTTAAGAAAAGTACTTGCATAAATTTTTTGTTCTCCTTTATTTTGTAAATGTCAATCTTCATATTGATTGAAAACTTCATTTGTGGATTTAATGATGTTTTTCATTTTTTATGCTTATAAATGTGCATCTTTAGTATACTTGCGTTCGATGCATTAACTATAAATAAAACAACTAAAATTTTCTTATATCATCTCTTTTACAATTCCTACATCCACCAAAGCTACCATCCCCTAGTGCAATACATGGGTGCATGCTCTAGGTGAGAGCTAAAAGGTTCGGTGATGACTTGGGGCCAAATGTATACTTCCACGGTTATCTATGTACTTCATGAGGTATAGCAGCGTCGGTAGACCACAGCCACACCGCCCAAATAAGATCATGGGCAGACTGGTAAATGTGAAACCTCTGAATTGTCGAACGAAGGAGTTAAAAGGCTGACTTGGCTCCATAGTTTGACTCCCACTATAAGAGCACACATTCTCCATGCATGCAAAGCAACACAAACTATTAACCCTCTCTACACTGCCACCCTCTTATTTTCTAGAGACGCCTTAGCTCTCACCATCTCAGTACTTACCCATCATCCCAAAGATAATCTTACCCAACACCACAAGGCCACACTCATCACAAATTGCAAAATAATGACCAAATTAGGCACATTTAAACACCCCCAAATTAAAAATAACAAACCTAATATTTAACAAAAAAATCTTCGAATGAATGGAAAATCTGAATATTTTCTGGGGAACCAAACAAAATTAAAAACTGACCTGAGTGGTTTTACCGCTACCAGTTTCACCAACCAAGACTAGGGTTTGATTAGACTTCAAAACTTGCAAGAACTCTTCTTTCTGGTGCCAAACAGGTAGGGTTTTCCTCTTCTCCAATATCTCGTAATACCTCTGCGAATACGGCCGCCCATTCCACCGGTTGATCAAGTTGTTCCCTTGAGCTGCTATGCCGCCATTAGATTTCGCAAGTTTTGCAGAGACTGAGCTCTCATCGACCACATCGAACAAGCTCACCTTCCTCTTCCTCTCCGTCCCCATCGAACCCTCCTAAAAACCCTAATCGTCCTCCACCAAAAATCGCAGAAAACAACCCAAAAATCCCCGAATCCCAAAAAGGAGAGGCTTTTCGGAGAATATTCGAGTAGTTCTCTCGCGTGACGATTGGAAACCCTAGAGACCGATACGAGAGAGGAAGGCTAGGGCTTATATATATGTACATGTAAACACCGTTTATATACCAAGGAAAGGAGAGATAAGAAGTGAACTTTCTTGAATTATTGATTAGTCCCTGATTTTATATTTAATTATTTCACTCTCCTTACACCCATCTCTTTTCAAATTTTAAAAAATTACTCTCCCGTTTCAAAATATTAATTTTTTATTATCTCAAAATATTAATTTTTTTAAAAAAATTAAATATTAAAACAACATAAATTTCTTATTTTATCCTTTTTTTTAAATTCATTAATATTAATATATATTATCACAATTAATATTCTCAAAAAAAATTATACTATTTTAATTTTAAATCAAATGGTAGCTTTGAAAATTTAATATTTTTGAAATGTAATCACTCTATTCGTTTTCGATTTTCAAAATTCACTTTTCAGAAAATTATATTTTTCATTTTTTGTATTTTTTTTTATTTTCACTGAATTTTTAAATATTTTAAACAGTTTTTTTTTTTAATTTTTAGACACACCTAACATAAATATACTTAGAAAATGTAATATTTGTGAAAAAAAACTTGAAACAATTCACTAAATACCAAAAATACAAAGAAAAATACGAAAATTCAGTACATTTTAAAAAAAAAAAAATTTGTGTATTTATTAAATTTTAAAAATATTTTTTCACAAAAAATTATATTTTTCATTTTTTGTATTTTTTTTGTTTTCACTGAATTTTTAAATATTTTAAACAGTTTTTTTTTTAATTTTTAGACACACCTAACATAAATATACTTAGAAAATGTAATATTTGTGAAAAAAAACTTGAAACAATTCACTAAATACCAAAAATACAAAGAAAAATACGAAAATTCAGTACATTTTTAAAAAAAAAAAATTTGTGTATTTATTAAATTTTAAAAATATTTTTTCACAAATAATTTACTATTTAGATACATCTAAATAAGGTATATTTAAAAAAGTTAAAAAATTGCTTAAATTTTAAAAAATATTCACTAAAAATAAAATAAAAAAACAAAAAACTCAGTTTTTAAAAAATTAAATTCAGAAAACTGAAACCAAACACACTGAATATTTGTACTACCAAAAAAAAGTTACATTTCCAAAAGAAACCAATATTTTGGGATATTGAGAGAATATATAATTAGTCTCATTCTTTTAATATAATTATATTGATTTTCTTATAGATTTTGATTCACATAACAATTAGATTAATTTTTATTAGTAATTCCTTAGTTATATAAATAAAAAAATAATATGTCCACAGTGTATGATTAGTTATATTTTTTCCAAATACCAAAGGAAATGACTGTGGTGTACCTTTTTTTTGATAAATTATAAATATATTTCCTAAAATTTATTTAAAATACGAATTACTCTTTATGGTTCTGAAAATTACATCATATCCTTTTGAATTTTTAATCGCATAACAAACGGCTCATCTTATTCATAAATCATTAAGTCAATTAATAGTTTTTAATAATGTCATAAATATATTTCAATTAACTATTCTAATAATTTTACTGTTGTGTTGGGAAGTAATTAGAGTTTTTTTTTTTTGTTAATTTTCTAAAATAAAAAATTATAATAAGAGGTATTTTAAAATTTTAAATTATAAAAGATAATTCGTATTTTAAGTAAAATTTTAAGGTGTATTTTTAATTTACCTTTTTTTTAAAAAAAAAAAAAAATCAAAATGTGGGTGTAGAGAGAAAAAGAATGGTGTGAATAGAAGAACTCATACCACTTGATTCGCTTTCAGGAGCTGAACTTTCTTAATTACTAATCAGTCCCTAATTTTCAACTAAATTATTCCAAAATCCTAACATCAATCAGCAAATCAGTGTGGTTATACCAATTTTAGGCCGAATGGAAAATAATACCTGATTTGGGGTTATGTTATATATGTCATATTCTCCAACTTAGGTTTTATTTACTTAATTTTAACAAAATCTGTTGTGTGTTTTTAAACTTAATTCCCAAATTCAATCACTTTTTGAGAAAAATACTACTTTATGAAACAATTTGAGTTTAGGAAGAATAAGTTCAAAAAGTTCCAACAATTAATAATTAAGATTTTGAACAATTTGAGTTTGGTAAATAACTCCTCCAAATGAATTTGTTAAGCTGAAACCTGATAGTTGTCCATTAGCTTAATTGGAAATCTCACTTGATATTCTCACCTCATCTGTATTGAGATCATTGATAAGGCAAGGCTTATCTAACTCATTGGCCATTAACATGTAAATTTGACCTTAAACTTTAAAATATTCTATAATTGATTGAAATTGAGTAAGAAGGGTTTGGTATGCCTTGGTTTGAATGATTAGTTTTGGATGCCTTAAAAAACACTGTACAAGAGGCATGTGCAAGAAAAAGAAAGAGCTAAGGTCAATACACTTTCTGAATATAGAATTCATTTTTTTGGACTGATTATGCTGTGTTTGGTTGGAGTTTTTGAGGTGGGATTTGGAAAAGGAATGAGAAATGTAATCCTATTTATGTTTGGTTATAATAAAAAATATATGGGAAAAGAAAGGGGGTGAGAAATAAATAAAGAAATAGGATACCTTTTAGACATCAATTCTATTTTATAACCAACACAACCAAACACAGTTGGGATTTGGAATTCTATTAATTCTTTCTCCTTTTCCTTTCATTTCCATTTCCCTTCCCAAATCTCCCAACCAAACACAGCGTTAGTGTATTGTTCACACTTTAAAAATGTATGAACAAATTTATTTTCAGTGGATTAGTTGGTAGTTTTCCCACCTTATAGGATCATGGTTTAGTGAATTTTAGTTCTATTGTATATAAACAACATCTATTAATGAATATAATGAAGAAAAATATCACTATCAGAATTCTTTAGTTTCTTTAATTGTGTAGAACTAAAGTTCAGATTCTCCTCAATTGTGAACTAATTGGAGATTTTTCCCTCTCGAATTGAGTATTTTTTACTTTATTTATTTATTTTTTTTGCTTTTATTTTAATTTCGTTAACAAAAGTTATGTAACATATTGCAGCAAAAAAAGCAAGAGCTTGAGAAAGGCAAGAGAAAAACCAATCTCGAGATAACAAATATCGCTTGGTAGCATATTTAAACAAAGCAAATTTCAAAATATTCATATAACTCTTGCATTATATTTATGTTAAGATTTTCATACCTTAAAATTTTCACATGATTTCATGGTTGTAATTTTCAAGACAAAAGGGACACAGACGAGATCCTTCACATTCTTGAGGTATATATGACCGATAGCAGTTGAATTTAAGAACTTGCTTCCACAATGAGAGAGATAGAGTTACACATATTGAGTCCCTCCAATTGAGTGGTATTGGCCATTGAGTAATTGAGATGAAGAATTGGCTTGGATTTGAATCAACAATAGACACCACCACCACATTTGATTTAAAAGAAAATATCAAACTAAACAAAGTCCTTTAAATTTGTCATTAATTTATAAGAAGAATTTGCCAATAGTCCAAGGGGAAAACTTCACATCTCAAGGAGGCTATAGTCTATAGATACATACAGAGTAAGAACTGTGTCACAAAATCTGTACAATGAAGGACAAGGATAAAACCGGAAGCAATTCCCCCTTTGATGCCAGATATACCATCCCATCAACACTTCCGGTCCTCAACGACTGTCATGTTACCCAGGGCATCTACCCAATTTATCCAAAATTCGAACCAGAAGCCTGCTGTACAGAACTGCACCGACATGAAACAGACAAAAAACAAATGAACACGGGCATTGAAATTTGAAATCACCGTTAGTTCACACAGCACAAAAAACATGCATGACCCAAGTAACCTAATCCGCCTACCCAAGGCAAAAATCACACTTTCATTCATTGATTATCAAATTGAGAGTAAAAACCAGTCAAATCCACAAATGCTCCAATGAATTCATTTTCAGCCTGAGCTAGTTGCCACATATTAGGCTCACCTATGACGACACTCCAAAACAGGTGTTATAGCAGTGTCAAACAGAGGGACATGTACGGGACACATCAGCTGGTGTGTCCTTTTATTTAATTAATTTATTTTTAAGGAACACGCTGGGGACACACCAACTAGTTTTGTTCCTCCTCTTATTTAGTGCTTTTAATGAATGTTGAGTGTTGAATGTCTATTACTCTTTGTTTAGATTTAAATAACCAAAAGATCATCCATAAAAAAATACATAAACGCCAAGGGTTGAGTTGAGTGAAGTTTTTTTGTTTTTACTTTTTGTATTGAATTAGTGTTTAGAATTTGTTAATTTGTTGCGTCCCCATCGTGTCTATGTCCTACTTTTTTGAAATCACAGTGTCCCGTATCCATGTCCGTGCTTTTAAGAGGCCCACTATAAGCATCCCACCCTATCACTTTTGACTGCTTGAAATTGTCCCTATTGGGTCGTGCATGGCAGCTGGTATAGATGAACAAAGGCAAGCCTTTTGAACGGGACCTATTCTCTTAATTCACCCCTAACTCAAAGCTTTGCTCCATCAGTGCGCATGAATTTTATATATTTCTTTTTTTAAAAAAAAATTACTATAGAGAATGTATAATATCAAACTGTTTACAAGATATTTTCACAAAAGATGTTCTCTTCAGCTCTCACTGTTGCCTGCTCCCACTCCACAAATTGGTTACTTAGGCCTCGTTTGGGAACAGACTAATTTAGTAACTTTTTGGCTAATTAGCTAAAAAGGTAGGTAAAAAAAACTTGTATGTTTGGGATGGCTTTTTGACTAATTACGAAAAGCTGTGCAAAAAGTAGAGAGAAGCCGTAATTGTTGACTTTTTGGTATGACTAATTGGCTAATTGGCTAATTTAGTAACTTTTTGGCTAATTGGCTAAAAATGTAGCATCCCAAACGAGGCCTTAATATGTGGCACAATTAGTCATGCAAGAACAAATACATATAGAGAAAGACGCACCTTGGAGGCTCAGAACCGTGTCCATTGCCAAAATTTGTGGAGGGGTTACCATAAAACTGGACTGATATCAAACTGTTCGTAGCTGCTGGCTCAGGAGACCCCTCAAAACTCACACTGGAACTGCTTCTGGAGCAAAATCCTGCAAACATTGTCTGAACAGCATAAACATCGGCAGAATCCACTTTTCTTTGCTTTTTTATCTTTCTTTATTGTGTTAATCAAAATAAATCCTGGTAAATTTTTTCTAAAGGAGATAACATGAAGGAACTGGAACCCTAAAAATTTAACTGAAACAGAAATAAAATTCAAAAAGTGGCTATAAATTGCAATCTGTATAGTAACATTGTTGGAAAAGTAGGCTTCCTTCTATGCAAGGGAGGAAACATGAATTTTTTCTTAGGAGGTCGAAATTGAAGCACAATAATAGTCTTTAACGAACAAAGCAATGTTACCTTTAAAAAAGGTTATATTATGTTTTGTGATTTTTTCTTTTACCAATCCTTTAAAAAAATGTTATATCGTGAACCATTTTTCTCAAAAATACGGATCCTTAAATTCCATGACATAATCTATTAACATATTCATCTCTGCAAGGTTTTCATGCCAAATTCACAAAATCAAAACATTAAACAGATATGGATATACATCTATATCCATTCAATTTTCAACACATTATAAAAAAAATCAAGTAAGGTTTAAGTGAGTAACTTGTAGAATGGCACACTGACTCTATTGATCAGAAGAGAAAAAAAGTAAAATTGATATACCAGTTACAAAGCAAAGCCAATTAGAGTTGCCTGAATAAACAAGGGAGAGTGGTCAATATTATATTTTCTCTCCCAGAAATTGCTCTAGCTTAAAAGCAAATTTAGTCAAACTCACATTGTAAAACATCATTTATATTTATCACAACCAAAACATATAAATAAAAGAGTGACCCAGTGCATGAGCCTCCTGTTAATGTGGGGTCTGAAGTGGGCAAAATGTACAGTCTTAACCCATTTCCAGAGAAGGTGTATTTGTGACTCGAACCAGCACCATTAGGGATGCTAACAGCAAGCCTTACCATTGGGCCAACTGCCCTTTACAACCAAAATTTATTAGTAAATCATTCCTGGCATAATAGTCTAGACTGAGTCACTGATGCATTCATTCTGCAACATATATAAGCATAAGCAGGAAGATTTTTTTACATGTACAAGTAACTACTACTAAGTGAGACCACCTGACATTTAATTATCTCCATGCAGTCAAAAAAGGTACTCTCATCTATTATATAGCATCTTAGTGACTCAGGTTTACTTATAAATATGCTGGAAGCTGATTGAATGCTCCATAAAAACATGGCCTCAATATCTATAAAGGATCCCTAATATGAAGGAACTAGTTTATTAAACACAATATTAATGACAATACAGCCAAAATAGCTAACCGGTAGTAGACTTCTAACAGGATCCTTAGTTCTTATCAATACTCCAATTATTTGGGCCAACATCTCTAGAATCTACAACATTTATGTTTGACAATACTCTTCACATCCTATTCATTTTCTTTTATTAAATCTAGAGCATCAATATTAAGATGTGGTAAGGTCTCAACACCATGCAGAAATCTACACTAGAAAAAGGACAGTTCAACATTATATCATCATAAAAACAGTAATAATAACTTTATAAATGAAACCTGAATCACAATTGATTAAAAAACAACACATTCCAGCAGTTTAACTAACCAAAGTGAGGCTAGTAAGAACATCGTTTAACAATAACCAAATAGGCAGTAGACTTCATTCAATAACATAAACAGCACAAAGATGCCACATTTCACAAATATGACGGTATAGTAATATGAACTATGGTGCGCATAAACAATACGTGGAAAGAAAACAGACCTATCAAACTCAAAACTTGCCACTGACCTTGGAAGAGTATTATAACGAAAAAGAGAATAGTGATGACCAGGGCAGATACGCTGCTGTTTTTCGATATCAATGACGACGATGATGATTTGGCTTCTTTCATCTTCTTCATAGCCTTCATCTGTTCACTCCTCGCACGTTTCTTCATGGCAAGTGCAGAGAGCTCCTTTATCAACTTCACGTCGGCAGCATCCAATGATGGACCTTTAGGAGGCCTCGGTGGCTTGGGAGCCTTCTTATATTTTGTGTTCTTACGTTTCTCTTTCCCATGCTTCTTCTCAACAATGGCCATATGCTCTCCACTCACTTCTCCTGAACTACTGCCTAATAACCCTTCTACATTTCCAGCCCCAGACTTGCTAGTTTCTCCCAAATTGCTGTATGAGTTAACACCAGATTCACCCCCAACCGATCTATTAAGACCCAAAAAACCACTTAAAACAGTATTGAATGCATTCTTCACTTGTCTATTGCCCGAAACAGCGCCTTGACTGGAGCCCTCTTCACTAATTATCCTACCACTCTCAAGATCAATTAAAAGGTCTCGTTCTTCTGAATCCATACGATCCATTAGACATAAATCTGATTTTCACCTCTTTCCAAATCTTTGTTAACTAGGCTAGCAAATCTTTTTTCTACAAAACCCAATTCAATGTTCACAGTCAATATTAAAGTATGCAACTATTTCAACTTCAATCAATAATTCAACAAAAAGGGTTTCTTCTATATTCTAATCAATAACTATTTCAAGAACTACTCAACAAAACGGTACTGTGCCGAGACTGCAAAAATTAATTTTATTTTTTTAAAATTCTAATCACCACCTTAATTATTTGAAAAACTACTCAACAAAACGGTACTGCGCCGAGAATACAACAAATTTTCCATTCCACTCTTAACCGTATAATCCTTTGCCAGGTCAAATAATTCTCTAATTCACGTTCACCAGAAAAAAGAGGATGTAAAACAATCACAAAATGTGAATCACACACACCCTCAAAACTTGAAGCCCTCAATTTAATCCTGTAATATACACACGAGATCATCGAAAGAAAGTTATATAAATCCAGATACAGAGTTCAATCATCCTCCAAATAAACTATTGGGTATGAAAATTTCCTAGTTAAATAACTGAAACAAAAATAAAAACTCATTCAAATGGGGAACAAAAAACAAGAATACTTTTTGTTTTTTTTAACCCAAGAAAAAATAGAATGAGATAAACAAAACTGAAGTCAAAGAATGTCAACCAACCCTTTTCAAATGGAGGGGGAAGAACCCTAGATCGGACGGCGGAGAGATGATCGGCCGGAAAAAGAAGAACTTTGACGGAGAGGTAGAGATGGAAAATGAAGAGAGAGAGAGCTATAAATAATAAATAAATAAAAGAATTAAGAAATTGTTTATAGAGAGAGAAGACTTGGTTCGATTCGATGATGATGAAGAATATGTATATGGATGCCCGCCCAATTTTAGTTTCTCTCTCCTGTAATTTTGACGAGGATCATTGCTAACAATAACCCCCCGGGTGGCTGTCGTTAGAGTGTGGCTTTGAAATTTAGGGATGTCTTGAATAATAGTTTATTTATATTATTTTTTTAGTTTCAAAATTTCAAAAAAAAATAAAATTATTTGACTTGTTTTTTTTTAATTAAAAAAATTTGAATAATTTAATTTATATAGTACATATAAGTTTATTCAATAGAGAATTAAAAAGATTAATAAATTTTAAAATATGTAAGTCGGAATTATTCATATGGGAACCCATAAATTCTTCATAAATTAAATTCAAGTAATTTAATTAATTTTGTTACCATTAGAATAAGAATAATGTTAAACAAAATTTTCAGAAATCAAATAGTTCCATATATATATAAGGTTTTTTTTGGGAAGAATTTTTTTAGTTTGATTTTTTGACTTTTTAATTATTTTAGCCTAACTAAAAAAATTTTATTTGGAATAAATTTTTGATTTATTTGGTTTGAATATAGTTTTATAAAAAAAAAAAAGTGAAATGATTATAATTTAGATGTGATATTTTATTTTATTAATTTTTTAAATTATTTTTTCTTTTAATGAGTTAAATTAGCCGCAACCATCTTATCAAACGAGAGCATGGGAAAATTCAATATGAAGGTGTACTATAGTATTACTCATATAATAACAAGACTTGTTTGTTTGTAAATGTATTTGATTTTGTTAGTGCATGTATTACCAAGCTGGATTTTTTTTTTTTTTTGGTAAAAATGAGCATTTATTAACTAGACTTGTTTTTATTGTAAGAGAAAAAATAAAATGTAACTTTTAATTTCACAATGAGAAAATATATTTTCTTTATTGGGCTTCATTTTAAAAAAATAATAATAAAAATTAAGTTTGGTGAAAATAAATATCAAAAACATGTTTTTAAATTTTCAATTTTTTTTTAAAAAGATAAGAAGAAAATAATGAATGTTTCTAAAATTTTCATTAGTTTTTTTAACAAATTAAAATTTTAATATTTTTCAAAAAGAAAGTGTGAAAACCAACCAAGGGACTATTTGGTGCAGATTCTCGGGGTTGCATTTTTTTTTCTCATTTTGAGAGTTAGTCTTAGATTATTTAATACAATTTCTACTTATAATTTATTAAGTAAAAATAAACTTTAAAAAAAAAGTTAATTATTTGAAATTTGGGAAAAGGATATTTTTAACTTCTCATTTTTTATTATTAACTTTTAACTTTTAATAAATTACACCAAACATATCCATATGAGTTGTTTATAACTTTATTTATTTAGAAAAAATGCTAAAGACCTACAAATTTGCTTATAGTGACATGGCAACTAAAGCAAAAGTGGCAAACATTTTCCTTTTTATTTTTATTTTTATTTTTGAACCTTTTCCATATTATTTGATGCATTTTTACTTATAATTTATTAAATAAAAGTATATCAAGTAAGTTGAAAAAATCTATTATCTAAAAAGCTGAGAAAGGGATTGTTATTATTATTTTTTTTTGAAGTTGGAAGTGGCACAACAAAGTTTTGTTGGTTTTGGGGGAGACGGTGGGCTTACCCATGTTGTTTTTTGGTGGTATCTGTTTAGGCATTATCCAATTATCATAGTCAAAAAAATTATTCAATTAATATATAACCATATTTATTTATTATTTCTATGGTTTATTCATTTCTTTAATACTGTGTTTAGTTAGAGGATTTAGGGAGGGATTTGAAAATGAAAATGAAAAATGTGTGTGAAATTATGTGAAATATAGGTATATTTTATTTTTATTTCACCTACCTTTTCTATTTCTTTTTCTAAATAACTTTTCAAATTCTCAAACCAAACACAGCATAAAGAAAATATTGTGAATTTCAAATAAATTATCAAATTTTCTATCAAACTTCTCACATGACTATAAGACTCACACTCATATGAGAGATTTAATAAAAAATTCAATAATATATTTAAAATTTCTAACATAACTCTTTCTTTAATTACCCTCGTCACTAATCAAACTTCACAAACAATACCCCCTTACTGTATTGAGTCTGCCGCCCATTGAGACGTTTCAATTGAGATTTCAATTTTTTTTTTATTATTATTATAAAAACCTTATTTTCCGCTAACTGGCTAAATTTTGTTAATGCCATGATATGAAATGGTAATAATTTAATCACATTATTTAGGCTCTAGAGTTGGCTTAATTAGTTGCATGTATCATACCATCTCACTTTATTTTTTATTTTTTTTTTCAGCCATGGCATACCAATTTTATTTATTTATTTTAAATAGAATAAAAACTTATAATTTGAAGGCTACAAGATTGCAAATAATAAGAAGACAAATGCTTACTAGTGACATGAGGCATTTTTAAATATTGATATATGAGTGAAAAGTGTTTTAAAAATAAAATGAGAAGTTAAAAAGCATTTTAATTTTGATAAAAAAAAATATTTGAATTCAATTGAAAGTGCCTCGATTTTTTTTTTATTTATTTTTTTATAATTCAATTTCTTCTTTGGACCCCATCTATTTAGAAAATATTTATTACTAGTTTGACCCTATCAAAAAATTTCAATTATACTCTTATTCTTAACCTCCCAAATCTTAACCATAGCCCTGATCATAACCCTACACTACCCCAACTATCACCCAACATCATCAGCTTTAGTTGCTACCCATCACTCCTCATCCTCTCCCATCCATCCCTAAAGCCAACTAGTACCCTCTCCCACCACCATCCCATTTTTCACATCTCTCATTCTAACCATTATATCATTCATATCTCAGACATTTTCCTTTTTAACTTTCCCCCACCCTCCTGTCAACTCCCCTCCCTCTTTGGCATTCCCTACCGACCGATAAAGAATTTTATGTAACGAATACATCATGTCACCAAGATGACATGATACCACTCCTACCGCTTATTAATTGACATTTAGTTAAACAAATAGCCTCAATTGCCTGCTCAACCCAACTCCCCGAATTCATGACATAGATTAGAGGGCCTCGCCTGATATCTACAATACAAGCGACTATAATCTACTTGTGGTGGTTCATCATTAATGCAATGCAAGTTATAAAGTTAATTTATTTTGTTAAATTGCCCTCCGGAATGATGCTAAAAACCGTCTTGACTGGCCTACCACAAACTTCACAATTGACCCCTCTGGTGTACCTCCCACATGCTTGTGATGGCTCAATTTCTGTATTGTTTTATTTCTCTAGACATTGACAGTGCATTTCAAACAAGTCAGCTGAATCTCTACACCAAACTAGCCGAACTTAAAAAATCATGTACATGCTCGACTCAAATTAATTCTATTACATAAACAAATTGAACTCGAGCTTAAAATAAATAAATTAAAAACATTTACTCACATTTCTTATGTTCATAGGAAACTCGAGCTGGTTTACTAAATAAACAAGTCAAGTTTACGAACAATTTAGTTAATATGCAGCCTTATCTACACCCAAAGAGAGAGGAAGAGTAAGTCCCACATTCACGTGTGTGAGGTGCACAACTCTTTTCTATTTATGAATGCGTATTTAGGTGTAGTACAGTATGAATGGTGTAACTGTAGCAATTGTTGCGGATCTTCATATCAAAAGAATCTTTGTGGTGGGGTTCAAAGAGAGGTGAAAGCACAAATTCAGTTATGGGCCTCCATATAAGTTGCATGTGCATATGTCTAAAACTTTAGATTATTCTGGAATGATCCCAGGATATCCATTCATAGAACCGTCCAAAATGAAGCAACATCATTATTGGCATTCAAAATCCTATCTAACTATTAATTAATTAATCCCCCAAATGGACAACTAATGGGGATACCTAATCCTATATGCATTAGTTATCTCACTCCTCATCCAACCATAAAAAAGTACTCCTCTTACATTATCCCATTTTTTTTCCCACCCTCCCAACAAAACCCTAATAATTTCAAATGCTCTATATAGCATGTATCCCCAAGAAACCACATCTCACAAAATGCAAATCTTACCCAATAATTGGAGCAATTCAATGCTTAAACTTAACAAATCAGAAGACAGACACAACGGTAACATACATATTATATTTCAAAGCTTGATTGAAGAGTATGACAACTTGCCATTTAGTATCGATTATATGTTTTTCCATAATCCTCACGCCTCTGGCGCTGGAAGTCGCCATAAGTGTCGTGAGTCCTCGAAGAAGGATAATTATCCATGGCGTCTGGGTACCTGTCCCTCGAATCCATTGCTATATTAGCTCCAGCATAGTGAGCATTGCCTGCAGAGTTATCATAGTCGGGATAACTGGGTTGCTTATAACCACCAAACTCCGAAGAGGAGATTTGCTGGCATGCCCGTTGTTGCCTCCTTTGGGCATCGAGTTGAAGAAACTCTTCCCATTGTTTCGCATGTTTTCCCCTCAGGATAGCCAGTTTCTTCATGTAATTCTCCCTCATCTCCTTGATAACCTTAAATTGAGATTTAAAAGAAAAAACTGTAATTAATCCTACCAACAATTGCGGCACAAAAAAAAATTACTTTCTTATAAATAACAATGAAAATCCAAATAGTGGGACTTGGTACATGATAAGATTGCTTTTAAACAATTTTGACGAGTAATAGTACCCAAAATCATCTAAACACACCAATTAAAAAAGAATGAAAAATCAAACCTTGATTTCTTTAAAACATCTGACCTTCTGTGCATGTAAAACTGTGATGTGCTCAAATAAATCATTAATAGCACCAACCTTTCTTCTTTGGATCTCCACCCTTTCACAATTTTTTAGGATAAATTACACTAACCTCCCAAGGTTTGGAGAAACTACTAGTCACACAGTCTTGATATAATTACACCGACCTCACTTTTAGTAAAGCTAAAGAAACCGGAACTAATATAAATGGTGTTAAGACACCAGGATAAACAAGAAAAAAAAATACATTTCAGTATAAAATGAATATGAAAAATCATTTTTTTTCATCCATAAGATTATTGAATTATTGATGAAAATGTTAAGTGTTATGTGCATTAAAACTTTAAGGGAACTCAATGTAAATATGTCAAAAATGTAGGGCTTGCTGTATTTTTTCTAAATCTCAAGAAAGGTTAGTTTAATTTATCCTTGCTATTTTATTACAACTCTACCCTATCATAAAATTCCAATCTATCTCATTCAACCTCCCAAACCCTAACCCCACCATCCTTCGACCATCACCCACAGTCCCTCCCCACCTCCAGCTACCCACAGCCCCTCCCCTGTGGACCACCCATTCTCTTTCCACCCACCCCCACCATTGATTCTGGTATTAAGTAAGGTGGAATTTTTACAAAATTTGAAATTAGTTGGTGGGGGTCTAAAGGTAAAATGTGGATGCTAATTGCAGCACCCAAGCCATTAATCACTTGAAGCAAATAATAACAGGATTCTGCAATAGATATACACACCTCACGATGCTTGTAATTCTCTTCATCTTCTTCCTTGTCACGAATTCTTTCAAGTTCCATTGCCTCCCTCTTATATTCCAACTCTAATTCCTCTAACGTCTGAGCAGAGGCAGGGTAATCAAAATTACGGCCAGATTGCATGTCACGTCCTCGTCTTTCACTATCCCATCCATCTGTCCTGTAGGCCCCCACACCTTGACTACGACTGTCAAATGAATTATATGAGTTGCCTGAGTAAAGGGGGCGTGCTGGAGATTTTGAATGACTTGAACGACCTCCAGCTCCATCATTACCATAAGCTTCACCAAAGGAAGAGTACGTTAAGCACTTTGATTCGAGATGTCTAACATAGAAGGTAGCTTTAACTACACAAACTATCTTAAATTCTCATAGTGAACCCCTCTGAGGTATACAAGTCTGGATATGCTTTCAGTAAATCATTTCTTTTTGGAGACAGTCCAATCAATTCAGACCCACCCACGAAAGTAACTTCACAATCGAACACAAAATGCTTGAATAAGAACTTACCTCTTGCTGCAAACAAAATCACAAGCAACAAGCAGTATTACTAAACATTCACAAAGGAATAAAATGAGCAAAAACAAAACATGGGTAGAATATTGTACGCTCTAACAAGCTACGTGCATGGCATTACCAGCTTCCTATGGACACCATAAATGTATCTTATGCTGTCCCTACCTTGTGGGGAGCCCCTTGCCAGTTTTTGCAGATCCTCACGAACACGGTCTTCCACAACCTTATCTTGTCTGCCAAACCTCTGTTGAAACTGGGATGATTTACGTGGACTGGGAAGAGACCTTTGGGAATCAGAGTGTCCAAATCGTGAGCCAACAGGGCTTCTCCGCTCAGGTGACTTAGACCTGCTCATCCGAGAACTAGAGGAACCTTTTTTTTCACCTTCTTCTTTAACTTTGTGCACAGCATCCACACCTTTTGCCAAAATCAACCTATCCTTGCCACTGACAATGATAAATTTCTCATCTAATTTAATTTTGCATCCAATATCCTTTTCAATCTTTTGAATCACTTTCTCTGTAAAAAGTGCTTTTACATGTTTTTCTCTTGCAGGAACTCGTTCAAAGAAATCTTGAGACTTGCGATTTGCTCCAAGAGTTGACGGACACCCCTATACATGTAAAACATATCACAATTCCAAAACACATAGCATTTGGATTCTAACAATGCAAAAAACAATAAAAGCAAAAATATACAAATAATAAATTTTTAAAAAAAAAGAAAAGACTCACACAAAGCAAATCAGCAAAATTATTAGGAGGATGTATCTTACATATTGTCTTGTGGAACATATTTCAAAGTCAGCAGAACCGTTAAAAAATGTAAGCAGGTACCTACTTTTAATGCTGATAGAAAATCTATTTACAACAATTTATGGTAACGACTAAAGAGAAAATAAATGGAAGCTAAGCCTTGTAAGTAGTTAAAGATGGCGATATGAGTGAAGTTAGCAGTCCATAAGACGACTGCAAGAGTGAACTTAATATTCCACAGACAAACAATGATAAGAATGAGATGACTTGAGACATGTTCAAAAAGAAAATTCTAACAGGAAGCATACAGGTGCTGTTTGGCAACCCTACATCATGTTCAAAAATGACTCAATTTGAGAAGAATACAAATTCCGACCAAATGGGGATAATCTAATTCACATTTGGCAAGATGTAGACTTCAATCCAAATCCGGGATTCAGATCATATGAAGAGAAAAAGATAAATAGAAATATAAAATATTTATAATAAAAAAAGAAGAAGAAAGAAGAAAAAATAGATAACTATTCTAAACTTCAAATAGGTGAATCAAGTAGTTATCAAAAAATATAGCAGTAACATCACAGAAAAACACTACAAAACCACAACCACTAACACACACAATTTCCACAACGATTGACGCCCCACAATGTAAGATAGTTTAACTAAACTGGGGTACAAATAAATAAAGATGCTAGATAGTAAAAGAGCACAAAGTAGTTCAGATTTCTATATCTTCTCATAAAGAGTCACTAGCTTCAAAAGCATTTGGAGGAAAAGCTACAATACCTGCGTAAAGTGACCTGATTCGCCACATATTTTACAGATCATTTCTTCTTCTTTCCGCTTCTTCCAGTTCCTCTCGGTAGCTTTAGATTTAGCCTCCCAAACCTTAGCTTCTCTGCTAGTAAAATCAGTTGGGACGGCATTAGGGTCACGAGGTTCCTCTTCGTCACTAGAACTTGCATGGGACCTTTTGTTGGTTTTTGCATTGTCGTGTACATTGGTGGCAGTAGAACCCAGAGGCCCAGTATATTCCTTATAAAGTTCACTAAAATCATCATCAATGTCAGGATCTGGTCTATTTGCCATTTAAAAGATGTCAGCTAAATATAACTCCTGCATCAGTAAATGAATTCCAAACTTCACCATCATCAGCAGAGAAAATGGAGATAGCAAGCAAAATATAAAAAATCACAAGAAAATTACAACAGATGGTTTTTTGCAGTGATTTGATCTCCAAGAAGTCATCTTTTACAAGTTTGGTTCTAGCAACAAGCAGATTTCTTTGGACCAAATTATGTGTTCATCTTGGTATTTGAGTATTTGGTTTTTCATTCTCTCTGAAGACTAAATATGGATTAATGGATTTCAAATTCTTAGGAAAAAAAAGATAAAGAATACAACGACTACTGCAGTGAACATAAATATACTGGCTGGTCGCAGCCATTCAGTATTTACTGTATCATTTTGTGGTTTGCTGTCTAGCCAGCATATATTGGGTGAGCTTGTAAATACAGAATTGTCTTCACTAATTCAAAGGGGAAATATAGTTATCATCTTCCCTCAGGACATGTTTCTACTCTTACGACAACCATCTGTTGTAATTTTCTTGTGATTTTTTATATTTTGCTTGCTATCTCCATTTTCTCTACTGATGGTGGTGAAGTTTGGAATTCGTTTACTGATGCAGGAGTTATATTTAGTAAACGAATTCCAAACGTCACCACCATCAGCAGAGAAAATGGAGATAGCAAGCAAAATATAAAAAATCACAAGAAAATTACAACAGATGGTTGTCGTAAGAGTAGAAACATGTCCTGAGGGAAGATGATAGCTATATTTCCCCTTTTAATTAGTGAAGACAATTCTGTATTTACAAGCTCACCCAATATATGCTAGCTAGACAGCAAACCACAAAATGATACAGTAATACTGAATGGCTGCGACCAGCCAGTATATTTATGTTCACTGCAGTAGTCCTTTATTCTTTATCTTTCTTTTCCTACGAAATCTGAAATCCATTATCCATATTTAGTCTTCAAAGAGAATGAAAAACCAAATACTCAAATAACAAGATGAACACATAATTTGGTCCAAAGAAATCTACTTGTTGCTAGAACCAAACTTGTAAAAGATGGCTTCTTGGAGATAAAATCATTGCAAAAAAGTGAGTCAGAAAGTGACTAGAACATGCCCATTAACCATATGAACAAATAAGAAAGTATATTGAGGACCCTTTCAAAAACATCATTCTTTTAAGATATTTATACCAAAAAACTGTTCATATTACACTTGGGCCTCGTTTGGCAAGTTAATATTTTAGCCAAAAAGCCCAAAAATTAATAAAAAAAGCCAAAAAGCCAAAAACCTATACCAAAAAGTCAAAGATTCCCTTTTCTCTTTACTTTTTGCACATCTTTTCGTAAAAAGCCAAAAAGTCACCCCAAACATACTAGTTTTTTTTACCTCATATTTTAACCAAAAAGCCAAAAAGTTACTAAAATAGTCTGTTCCCAAACGAGGCCTTAATAAGTTCATTTTATTTTCTTTTTTTCTAAAATACAAACGAATATAAGCTTCTTATAGTTGCGTAATCGTACAATAACTTAAGAACTATAAACAGTCAAACTAAGCGAAAAAGCATGATTGGCTTCATCAAAGGATCTTTTGCATATCCAAAGAGAGAGATAGAAAACTGTTTAGGCAGGCAATCTAAACTATTTTAGGTTCCACTTGGTGTGTAAAATGTAGATATGGTAGCATCTAGTATGTAAAAAAGTTTTGAAGGGAAAATCAAGATATTTTCTAGAAAACTGTTTAGGCAGACAATAATATTTTAGATTGCACTTGGTGTGTAAAATGTAGATATGGTAGCATCTAGTATGTAAAAAAGTTTTGAACGGGAAAATCCAGATATTTTCAGTATTCTATGGAAAAACAGCCAAAACAAATCCTGAGGACCACCCTTTCAAAAGTATCATTATTTTAGGATAATTATACCAAAAGCTGTTCATAATAGGGAGGCTGCTAATGCCACACCCAGCATTTATGGTGCCACACACATAAATATGAAATCACCTATTTGCCCTTTGAGAGATCAGACACTTTCACGTCTCATTAAATGACTCCTCCATGCATGCATTTTCCTGTCTTCCTCTTCTCTCTCTCTCTCTCTCCAGGCCTTTTCTCTCTCTAAAAACTCAATCAATCTGCCTCCCCCTTCCATTTTGCTCTGTTCTTTCTCTTCATGCAACAATTTTGTTTGACTCTCTAAATTTGTTTGATAAATCTATAAAACTCAGAAATGACAAATTGTTCCTAATTATTAAAAAAACTCCACAAACTTAGTAAAGTGTATTCTTGTTAATGAGAAGAGATAAAAGCACCAAGTTATGACATAGAGTCAATCACCACCGCAAGCCACCAGCTTCACTGCCTACACCACCTCCAGCTCCCCCAAAAACTCCGTCTCCAGCAACTCCAGTACCACTAATCCTCCAACAGCACCCTAAGACCTTCAAAATGCACCAACAAACCTGCTACCTCCACAACCCCTTTGAACCCTAAATCAACAACCATCCCCAAACCTCTCTTTGTAAGGACAATTCTGTCCTGACAGTAAAAAAAGCGTGGATCCAGCCTTTTCTGTTGCAGCATTAGCGCCTCCCTCATAATAGCACTTAAATAAGTCCATTTTCTTTTTTTGTGACATTATAAATGAATAGAGGCTTCTCATAGTTGAGTAATCATACAATATCTTCAGAGCTATAAGCAACCAAATTAAGCGAAAACATGACTGGCTTGATCAAAGGATCTTTTACATATCCACACACACACACGCAGAGAATTGTAGACAGACAATCTAAAATATTTTAGGTAGGTAGCACTTCATGTGTAAAGTATAGATATGGTAGCATCTAGTATGTAAAAAAACGTTTTGGAGGGAAAATCCAGATATTTTCAATATTCTAGGAGGGAAACAAGCAAAACAAAGAAAGATATGTTTGTCAATTCTATCACATTATCTATTTGCATGTTCTAACTTCCTTAGCAAGAAAGATGTGAGGTATGAATATACAAGTAAAATCAAGCTATGTTATGTTTGTAAGCAATCAATGCAATGTATCTACAATACATAATATTTCCACATATCAAATATATCTTCCTATTGAGACCAATTGAAGTTTAATTTTGATACTAATTAGTGTTGATCAGAATTGAAAATATGCTTTTCGGGTCAGAGAGTAAGGAGACTAATACATGTTTAACCGATCAACCTTAATGCAAAATATGTTTTCTTTTAAATACAAAACCAAGGGTCCAGTTATGCTGATAACAGATTGTACAAATGTAGTTAGAAAAATATATACAAACCTATTTTCAGAATGTAACCAAAAACAAATTTTCTCCATAATTTAATTGAAATAAATCAAACTATTATATAGAATTATCAATCAGTAACCCACCAAAACTACAAAAATAGCAGATAAGGGATAAGTAAAACAAGAAAGGAGCTAAACACCTTGCACAAATAAAAAATGTGGAACGATGATTTATCACAACTTCATCAGTTCAAATCTTGAAGAGATAACAAAACTAACATTACACCACTCAAACAGTCATGTGCCTTTTTTGAGATACTAGCAGTGGGTGTAAACGCAAATAAACTTTACGGCAGTCTGATGGATGAGAAAGATGAGTAGAATTTGAGAATCATTTAGCAATTATTTACTGGATGTAGAGTTTTAAATCAACTGAATTATAATTTTGGAGGGGGAAAAAAAGAATGTGACCAGAAAACGTTCACACCAAATGGTTTTACAATTTATACAATGTGTATAGAATAGACAATCTACACTAATATGTAAAGGGAGAACCCAAATTAGTGATGACGAGGTCGGACTTTTATTTTTCAAAAGTAACCCTATACTATTATGTTTTAACCAATTAAATGGCCTTGATATATGAATAAATATAAAAATCCATGCACCATTAACTCTACTTTTAATATAAAACAAAATAAAAAAAAAATCAATTAATTAATAAAACCATAACTTCTCCTCACTAACAAAATAGTTCAATTATTATTTTTTAATTTGGCACACAGTAACTGTGACTTCCCTTCAAGTAGACATACATATATAAATTTTAAAATTCAGTAGCAAAGATCCCAATCCAGCAAAAATCCTGAAGAACCCATTTACCTCCACTCCACCAAGTTCCAATATTTGCTAGAACAAGTGTTAGTCAGCGAGAATGTATATATGCGCGTATCAAGTACAGCGTAATGTAATCTAGGGTTTGAATAAATTGTCTTCTTCGTATTGACATGTATAGCATATATGTTAGGGTTTTGCAGACACATTAGAGGAGACAAAGAAACTGAATTAATTGCAGAAACATATTATGATTCAATACAATGACAATCTATAATTTACCAATACGAACCAGATTGTTTGCTGAAAGGTAGAAGGAAATGAAAGATATACCTCAAGAGAAGAGAGAGCAAGTGCGAGTCAGTGGGAGCTCTGCACAAATGACGAACGGCTAGGGCTTTTTTACCCCCTCCCGCATTTTGGATCTTGTACTGCTCAACAAGGGAGTGTTTGGGAACTTGGGTTGGGATGTTTTTTTTTTTTTCACTAAAATAATAAATCAAGATGAAATAAATTAAAATAATACTTCAAATCATAATTATTATTATTTTTTTTTTACAACCATCAAATTAACTAAAAAAAACTATCATTTCAAATATAATTTTTTTAGTCAAATTAAAATAGTTTAAAAAATTAACTAAAATTTTAAACAAGCCCTAAATAAGCCAGATAAATAAAACTTAGAATTAATTACACTTTTTATCTCTTTAATTTTATTTAATTCTTATTTTGGTTCCTATTATTTTAGGACCCGTTTGTTATATGGGTTAAGGCTAAATTAGTCCATTAATAGATAAAATAGGTTAATTTAGTTAATTAGACAAAATGTCACATTTAAACTATAATAATTAAACTTTTTTTCTTACAATCATCAAATCAATTACAAAAAAAAAAAAAGCTTTTTTTTTCACTAAAATAATAAATCAAGATGAAATAAATTAAAATAATACTTCAAATCATAATTATTATTATTTTTTTTTTACAACCATCAAATTAACTAAAAAAAACTATCATTTCAAATATAATTTTTTTAGTCAAATTAAAATAGTTAAAAAAATTAACTAAAATAGTCAAATTTTTAAACAAGCCCTAAATAAGCCAGATAAATAAAACTTAGAATTAATTACACTTTTTATCTCTTTAATTTTATTTAATTCTTATTTTGGTTCCTTTTATTTTAGGACCCGTTTGTTATATGGGTTGAGGCTAAATTAGTCCACTAATAGATAAAATAGGCTAATTTAGTTAATTAGACAAAATGTCACATTTAAACTATAATAATTTAACTTTTTTTCTTACAATCATCAAATCAATTACAAAAAAAAAAAAAGTCAAAAATTTATCCAAAACATAACTTTTTTAACCAAGTCAAATTAGACAAAAAGTCAGGTAAAAAATTTTATCCCAAAAATTTGAATAATTTGATCATTACCCTTTTAAGTTTAGTTTCAATTTAATTATTCTATCTAAATTTATATGTATATCTTAAGAAACTAATAAGCGTCCTAAAATTGTTAATTTTAACTTCTAGCTTAAATGAAAAAGCCAAATTAAACTATAATTAAAATATAAGCACCAAACCGCCTGATTTAAAATATTAGCAACCAACGTAAAATTTTAATAAGAATACATGAGTTAAAAGTGTAATTAACTCATAAACTATAATGGTGAGTTATCATTATCCTAAACTTTTAAGACTAGTTGAGTTAAAAGTGTAATTAACTCATAATAATGGTGAGTTATCATTACAAAAATATTAGAAATTCTAAAAGTTTTATCAAATGGCTCATATGAGTGTGGGATCCATACGATCTACGTTTTATGTGGATCTCACATTCATATGAGACATTTGATAAAATTTTTTGAATTTCTAACATTACTTTTATCATTATCCTATCCATTTAAGACTAGTTGAATGACAAAAATATGAAGGGGACAGAATATCACTGCTAGTAATGAGATTACAAATAATAGAACAGCAATGATAGAGGGCCCGAATTTCTCAGGCTCGAATGGCTCGAATTGACCAAAACAACACAAAACGACGTCGTTTTGGTCAATTCAAGCTATTTGAGCCGCGAATATTGTGGCCATCAAACATTTTTCATAATAGAATTCCCATGTCAATGTTGTTGAAGTGTTTGGTTTTACTAGGAATCTTCAAAGACGAAATAATAAAAATTTAGATATTGTGGATCTAATTATTCTAGGAGCTTGAGTTTTTTTTTTTTTATATAGAAAATTGGAAGAATTAGGGCTTTGTTTAGAAGAGTTTTAAAAATGTAGTTCTACCTCTTGATTTGCATGCGGTGTTTGGTTATAGTTTTCAAAAAATAATTACACATCTACTTTTGAAAACTCTTTTCAAGGCGGAAAATTTGGACTAACCAGTTGTCCCTCCAGACGCTTGGCCGGTTTTCTTCTCGGATGTCCAGCCGATTGACCAGAACAATGCAATTATTTATTTATTTATTTTTACAATTGGCACCTGTTATTTTTTATATTTTAAATTAAAAAAATCATAATTTTTTAAAAAAATTTATGAGTTCTAAATAGAATTTTGAGTTGTGTGTTTGGTTCTAAATTGTAAGTTTTTGTATCAAATATCATATGTCACATCAAAAATTATTCACTCAATTCCAAACTCTTTTCAAAATTCATTCACCAAACAAATTTTTTACACTCAAATCATAGTTCTAAAACTCAAAAACTCAAAATACAACTCTTATTCTCAAATTATATTTAGAAAATTCTACCAAACGCTACCTAGATTTCTCACCTAGTTTGTTGGGAAAATGGTTTGGAAATCATTAATAGGTAAATGAGAAATTGGCTCCAAAGTACACCATTTGAATATAGTTTTATTTGTTATATTTTTTGGTCAAAATTGAACCAGATTCGATTCAAAATTTGAATCTATTTGAAAGAACAGTCATATCTGCTCTTTGTACCTATTCCATGGAAGAGTTATGTCTCTTCATAGAAAATAGATATGACTTTTTATTGAAAAGTCACCATGACCTTTCTAAAAGCCACAAATTCACCTAAATAAATAAACCCTGTTTGCATTCATTAAATTTTGAATTCATCTTGTGTTTTTTTTCTTTTGCACTCTGTCTTTTCTGTAAGAGAATTTTGCACACACTACTAAATAAAGGGCCTTTTGAGTTGGCAAATTTTACCATCCTAAAAGCTAGTCTTTTTGCGACGACACAAAGTTACCGACGCAAATACCAAACTTCAATGTCGGCACCGTTGACCGACACAAAAAATTAATATTTTATAGCATTACTTGAGTCGGTTGAATTTACTGATGCAAAAGATAGACCTTTTGCCTCGGCAAAACCATGTCGACACAAAAAAAGTCAACGCAAAAAACTAGACCTTTTTGTGTCGACAACTAATGCCGTCGCAACAAAAATATTTGTATACTCAAGATATATATATTTACTTGATTATATGTAATAAATATGTTTGTTTATACATATACTTTTATATTAATATTGATTGTATATACTATAAATAATATATATCTCATTTAGAAAGAGATATTGTAATGCAGTGGATTAAGTGTGGTCTATTGGGTTCAAGTTTTCCAGATGAAGTAAGTTTGAATCTTGGGAGCCTCAATAAGGAAATCATGGGTTGGATTTTTTAAAACATTTAACCATTTTTTGCGTCGGCAACTTATCCTATCAAAAAATTGAAACTTTTCGTGTCGGCAACTTGCCGACTCAAAAACCTTTTGTGACCCCACCATTTTCGTCCCTCAAGTTGCCGTTGCAAAAATTGTTTGCGTCGGCATATATGCTATTTGCGATGGCATGATGTTGACTCAAAAACCCTCTTTTCTAGTAGTGACAATAAGGTTCGCCAGACTTGCCGTGGTAGTGCTACTTCTGCAAGGTTTGATCGTTGTAAAAAGAAAAGAAACATAAGATGAATTCAATATTTAATTAATGCAATAGGGGTCTATTTATATAGGTGAATTGGTGGCTCTTCAAAAGGTCATGGTGACTTTTCAATAAAAAGACACATCTTTTTTCCATGAAGAGACACAACTCTTCCATGGAATAGGTACAAAGAATAGATATGACTGTTCTTTCAAACATATTCAAATTTTGAATCGAATCTAGTTCAATTTTGACCCAAAAATATAACAAATAAATTTAATTTTAAATTAAATAAATTTGGTCTTAAAACCATAATCAAATGTTGCACTTTGGAGTCAATTTCTCATTCACCTATTAATGGTTTCCAAACCATTTTTCCAACAATTTCCTACATGAATGAAATGACAGAAAAGTATGCAAGACTCAATGTAGACTCAAAGATAATTTAATTGGAAATATTCTGAATAGGGATAAATAGCTTTTGACTTTGAACTTTCCTTAGTAAAAGACTATCGGACTTACTAGCTAATCAGTGGACATAATGCCTTGAACTGTTCAACCGTTTGTGTAAGCCAAGACAATAGAATTCAAACAGAATATCTCCAGACATAGCTTAGTTCTATGGTTGTGCCCGTTTTGGGCTTGGGCATGTCTTGGTATTTCATGAGGGCTTTAGAGATTTTAGCCTTATCAATTCTCATAGAAGCGGCCCCTTCACACTCATATACGTGATCCTTATTTCGAGTCTCATAAATACTCCTCTTGAAAGATACCCCTCTAGGTTTTTTCAAAATATAAGTGATCATTAAAAGCATAGCTTACCCTTAGTCTCCTGCATATAACATATGTTCCATATATCACTCTCATCATAGAAATGGATAGGAGATAGACTCCTTTAGTGATTTATGGTGAGTTATCCATAATTCGGTTATCTCTTTGAACCTAGATCTTGGGATTTCCAGTCAGCTAGGTTGGGTTGCCATTATAGCGACTCAAAATTAATAGTCTTTTTATCACATTCCCCTCAGTGAACTTTCTTTCATCTACTCTCTGGTCAAACTTTTTGTTTAGTGGCCGCTATTTTTCCGTTTCACCTTCTCAGTTATATATCATTAAGTAGTTAGTGGATCTACTATATTATCCTTAAACAATATTCACAACTGAGAGCAAATGTCCTACGGTATTAAGTATTTGATTACGTCGAGACTTACCATTATTCTATGTCACTGTCATTATTGAATTCAAATTATAGACACAGAGGTGTTCCTTAGAAGTTTAACGAAGCCATTTTACTTCTACTTCATTTTTGTCCTAATCAAAAAAATAAGATTCTTTGTGGACCTACTATCAGGAACCATTACTTTCTTCCAAGCACTTCCACATTTTAAGTATTTTAAGAAAAATTAATTTCCTATTAATACACCCCCACAATTCTGATGTAATTCAGAATGTAACATCTATCACTTGTTGACTATGGTATGCTTGAGTAATAAAATTCTAAATCAAATTTATGAAATAGAAAACTTAGAATAATTATAATTACACAAATCATATTCTCATACAGATTTTGCTCAA